TTTGGAGTGTGAGTAAATGTTGACAGAATGTTAAATGTTTTCCCATGTTTGTCTCCTTGTAGCAGAGCTTGCAGAACTGGAGAGTATCCGTAAGGCCCTTTCTTTCGGTCAGGAGCACAAGTCTTCCTCCTCTTCCTCGTGCAGTGGTGTTCAGAGCACAGAAATTGAGGGCCGGGAGAATGGAGACCTAAAAACCGTCCAGACTAAGAGGATGAGCCTCACTGACTTCTCATTCATCAAAGTGTTGGGCAAAGGCAGCTTCGGGAAGGTCAGTGTCTTTACTGATTTTTATTAATCAGCATTTGTACTGTTGGTTTTAGTTCAGTTCGGGGTCAGAAAAAAATAATAATATATTTTTTAAAATAAATTATGTGCTCAGTTAGTTTATTTGATTAAATAAATGTTATTACAGTTTAAGGCATTTTTTTCCAATTTGAATGATGGTAAAGCTGAATATTCAGCTGTGCGACATGCTATTTGATAAATAAATAATGATGCAATTACGATTAAACTGACTACCATTAACTTTAGTAAGCTGTGCTACATGATTGTATTAATTAACCCTTAACTGATACGCCACATTTTGAATTTACACTTGGTATCTTATTAGAGTTTAAGGCATTTTCCCTTTTAAATGATAGTAAAGTTACATTTTCAGCATTATTACTCCAGAAATTCTTCATCATGAAATCATGATGGTTGTGCTGCTTAATATTTTTATTGAATTGACTTTTTTTTTAATGAATACAAAGTTCTAAAGAATAGAACTGAAATTAATCTGAAATTGTATGTAGAATATTACATATTTACTGTCACTTTTAATAAATGTAATGAATTCCAGTTGAATAAAAGTAGTTTTACACCTTTTGAATGACATCTTTACCTTCGAGTGCTTCTTGATATTGTAGGTGATGCTGGCTGAGTTGAAAGGCACAGATGAAGTTTACGCTGTGAAAGTTTTGAAGAAAGATGTCATCCTTCAAGACGATGATGTTGACTGCACTTTGACTGAGAAACGCATTCTGGCCCTGGCTAGAAAGCATCCCTATCTAACCCAACTTTTCTGCTGCTTCCAGACAAAGGTAAAACAAAATCACTGAAACGTAACCAAACTCCATACTAAAAGTGTTAACATTCTTCTAATCAGATTAAAAGGACAGTTCAACCAAAATGAAAATATGCTGCCAAGTTTCTCACTCTGAAGGCTTTTGAGACAAAGCTGAGCATATTTAAAATAGTTTGAGTTATTTGACTTGATAAGTGTGAATCTGGAGCCATGGGTATTAAATGGGTAGTTTACCATAAAAGCAAAAATCTGTAATAATTTACCAAATCTCTACTTGTTTCCTAGTAGAGTTTTTGTGTGTGTGTGTGTGTGTGTGTGTGTGTGTGTGTGTGTGTGTGTGTGTGTGTGTGTGTGTGTGTGTGTGTGTGTTCTGTTGAACACAAAAGAAGATATTTTAAAGAATGTTGGACACCTGTAACCATTGACTTCTATAGTATGTGATTTTTTCCTACATAATATCTTATTTTGTGTTCAACGGGACAAAACACTAATACAGGTATGGAACATGACAAGTGTGAGTAAAAAAGGACTGCATTTTCATTCAGTTTTCATTCTTGTCTCTTGAATTAGGTTTTTTCTGTATAAGTTTTTGACCATAGTTTTAGCAAAACATCTTCTTTAATGTCCTGCTGAAGGGGGGGAAATGAAAATCTTAAGTAGCCTGAGGGCAAATAAGTTAAAAGTGAATTAGTATTTTTAAACTAATAGTGACGTCATGTGATAAATCGTTTTTTACAGTCCAGCAGGTGGCAGAGCTGCACATTATTGATGATCAGGAGTTCACTGATTAAAAACCGTTGTTGTCCAGGAGGTGGCAGTGTAGCTTCTTTAAGACAGATCACGCATGTTTATTCATGCATCACAATGTGGTTTTTAGGTGACAGTCAATTGAGTTGTTTGAAGCTGTATAAAGACAGAGAGAGAGAGAGAGCGAGGTGTCAAATGATGTTAAAAACTTTTTAAAATGGATAATTATCATAAAGCTTGCAACTTTAATAAAACAATAACTGGAAATGCCAAGTATGTTTACTTTAAACTGCTAATATTTTTATTTATTTATTTAACTTTTGCACAAAACTGTATCTTCAGATAGGGAAGGTGATCTGAAGTGAGACTTATTAAAGTCTCTGACATCCTTTTCTTTTTTCACTCTTTTATCTTCTGACACTTGGCCCCGTTGTTCTCTGTTTTACGCCATTGCTTATTTCCATCTCTTGTTCTGCTTGGTAGTGCTCGAGATCAACTCATTTATATTGAAGAAGCTAGTCAGTGCTTGGAGTACAGGTTGAATTTTTTTTCAAAAGTTTGGCGTCAGTAGAATTTTTAAATGTTTTAAAATAAGCTTCTCCTGCTCACCAAGGCTGCATTCATTTAATCACAAATACAGTACATATTGTTAAATGTTATTGCATTATAAAATAACTGTTCAAAATTAGTTTATAATTTAATTAAATAAATTTTCATGTGATTTTTTTTTTCAAGATGAATTTTCAGCTTCATTGCCAGTCTTCAGAGTAACATAATCTTTCTGAAATCACTCCAATATTTATTATTGTTTTTATTATTATTAAAATTATTATTATTATTATTATTATTATGACTAATGTAAAAATATTATTTGAAACTACCTTCAATAAGTAATAAATCTTTTTTTAAAATAATAAGTATTTAACAATTTACTTTTTTCTTACGTTTAAAAATTTCACAGTATGTCTGATAATTTTTTTTTTTGAAGAAAGTCTTATTTGTTTTATTTCAGCTAGAATAAAAGCAGTTTTTAATTTTTTAAAGGCCATTTTTAAGACAAAATTATTAGCCTCTTTAAGCTCTTTTTGTTTTCGATAGTCTACAGAACAAACAATCATTATACGATAACTAGCCTAATTACCCTAACCTGCCTAGTTAACCTATTTAACATAGTTAAGCCTTTTAATGTCACTTTAAGCTGTATAGAAGTGTCTTGAAAAATATCTAGTCAAATATTATTTACTGTCATTCATTCATTCATTCATTTTCTTGTCGGCTTAGTCCCTTTATTAATCCAGGGTCGCCACAGCGGAATGAACCGCCAACTTATCCAGCTAGTTTTTTACGCAGCGGATGCCCTTCCAGCCGCAACCCATCTTTGGAAAACATCCACACTTACATTCACTACGGACAATTTAGCCTACCCAATTCACCTGTACCACATGTCTTTGGACTGTGGGTGAAACCGTAGCACCCGGAGGAAACCCACGCGAAGGCAGGAAGAACATGCAAACTCCACACAGTAACACCAACTGAGCTGTGGTTCGAACCTGCGACCCATCCACCTTCTTGCTGTGAGGCGACAGCACTACCTACTGCGCCACTGCCTCGCCTACTGTCATCATGGCAAAGATTTTTAAAAAAATCAGTCATTAGAAATGAGTTATTAAAACTATTATGTTTAGAAATGTGTTGAAAAATCTGCTCTCTGCTCAACAGAAATTGGGGAAAAAATAAACAGGGGTGCTAATAAATCAGGGGGCTAATAATTCTGACTTCAACTGTATATAAAGAAATCAACAGACAAATGTCAGGGCTAGATTGAGGTGCAAATTGACAATCAATTAATGGAATACACTGCACAATGCTAAGTTAGTAGATTATTGCAGTATTTTTAAAAGGCTGAACTGCAACATTTCAACTGGAACTGGAAAACATGTTTTTACTTATTGGCTTTCCAAATGCAAGTAGCTGCTCTATAGTTAATGAAGAAAAATGGTATATGTCTAAAAATATCATAGTGGCACAATATGTGACCCTCATGGCTTATGCTGCACTGGTACACTGAAAAAAAAATGATTCAAAGATGATTACTTGCATTTACTATTTTTTTTAAGTTAAGTGGTTGTAAACTGTTTATTTGGGCTGAATTTAAACAAACAAATGAATTATTACAAATTATTTTTTTTAAATCAACACATAAATTGTTTGCAGCAATTTTGCAGATGTCTTTTATTTTAGTGTACATTTTTGGCAATAGCTAAAAATATATTGCATACAGTAGGTCAAAATGACCCTTTATGTCAAATATCAATAAAACATCAAGAAAAGATTATGATTTGCACATTTTTATGCTAAACATATTAAGATATTTAGATTTTTTTAAAACCTTTAGATTCCAGATTATCAAATACAGTAGCTGTCATTTATTCATTTTCCCCTGCCTTAGTCTCTATTTCAGGGATCACAACAAGAGAATGAACCACCAACTATTCCAGTGTATGTTTTATGTTTTAAGCAGATACCCATGCAGCTGCAACTTAGTATTGGGAAACACCCATACACACTCATTCACACACATACACTAAGCATTTATTTGACCCGTGGGGGAAACTGGAGCTCCCTGAGGAAACCCACGCAAGCATGTGGAGAACATGCAAACTCCACACAGAAATGCCAACTGGCTAAGGCTCTAACCAGTGATCTTCCTGCTGTAAGGCAACAGCACAAACCACTGAGCCACCATGCCATTCTTAAATAGTTGTATCTCATCAAAATATAGTCCTGTCCTAGCAAAGCATACTTTTTAACCATACAAACCAAGTTTGTTTAAGCAACTTTCAGATGATGTTTAATTTTCAAGTTCACAAACTTGACAGTTAGGATTGGTTTTGTGGTCCAGGGTAATATATGTGAAAAAAAATGTATTGAACAATACTCCAGTCTTCTTCGGGTGCTCCGATTTCTCCCACAGTCCAAAGATTATATGTAAATTGAATAAGCTAAATTGTAACTGTAGTGTATGTGTGTAAATGCAAGAATGTATGGGTGTTCCCCACTGTTGGGTTGTGGCTGGAAGGGCATCTGCTGCGTAAAACATATCCTGGATAAGTTAGCGGTTCATTCCGCTGTGGCGACCCCAGATTAATAAAGGGACTAAGCCAAAAAGAAAATGAATGAATAAATAAATACCCCAGTCTAATAGTCAAAATTGTTAATTTGTTTGGTAATTTCAAGAAATCACCACAAACTTTTGTACAAAACTGTATCTGCGAATAAGGAAGGGGATCTGAAGTGAGACTTGTTCTATTCTAACTGCGCTCATTAAAGTCTCTGACATCCTTTCGACTGGGGCTTTTATCGCTCTCATCTTCTGCCTCTTTGCCCCGTTCTTCTCTGTTTTGCACTTTCACTTCTTTCCGTCTCTTGTTCAGCTTCCCCTCCCATGGCCCAGTTACGCTCACAGTGATATCTAGTGTCCTCATTTCTCTTTTTCACTCTCCCCTCTCATTCGCCCTCATGTGAGAACACAGGACACTCACTGACTGAAAGCAACAAAGCGTTAGATGCAAAAAATGGATGGTTGCAGGCAATGGTAGAACAGGAAAGGGGCAGAAAGAAAAGGAAGACGTGATTTGGGGCGGGGAAGAGGAGTCATGTACTCTTTTTGAACTGCTGCTTCTGGTTTTAATCAGTTTTGGGATCGCAGCCATATTCTTATCCGCTGTAATTACGCTGCAGAAATGTAAATAACATTACACAACTGCTTCTGATGAGGCCTGTTGGGACCGCGGGCAAACATGCCTCTGCAGATAGAAAATACAAGAAAAGGGGCCGTGTTAAAAGACTGTGAGGAGGATTTTGGAAAATGGAAAAGTCTGAATGATTGCTTGGGAAAAAGAGAGAGAGACAGAAGGAAGGGGGGGTGGAGAGTTAGATCACGCTGGAGAATTTCCCTGGGACTTTAAACTTATTTGCAACATTAGATAATATAATTTTTTACCTAGAAGTAAAAGTTTGTGTTAATTTTCATATTATATTATATTATATTATATTATATTATATTATATTATTATATTATATTATATTATATTATATTATATTATATTATATTATATTATATTATATTATTTTATATTATATTATATTATATTATATTATATTATATTATATTATCCAATTATTCATTCATTCATTTTCTTTTCGGCTTAGTGCCTTTATTAATCCAGGGTCGCCACCGTGGAATGAACCACCAACTTATCCAGCATA